CTAAGCTCGACATTTCCAGGTCCGGGGAATGCTATGGAGACCTTCATTATCTGGGCGTAGGTTCCAGTGATGAAGGTGAAGAAGACTAGGGAGGAGAATTATGGGATGTAAGCTGGGAGGGGACATGGGATGGTCAAATGGTGATCGTTTACTGCACTGCGTAACTTATAAAACCAATTAAGACAGAGTGTGATAGTGTAGGTGGGGGAATAGTTAATCAGCCACACCCACCTGGAACTCTGATGCTTGCTTTGTACTTTGGGTTTCACTTGTATTGTTGTGCGCACATCGTGACTGAAGGAAGAAAATTTGTCTAGTTGCTGTCTCCGGTCTGGTTTATTTGGGGCTGTCCTGACTGCTGGTTTACAGCAGTTAGTAGTTAAATGATTTGAATGTCCCATCCCAGCTATATCTTGAAAGAAGCCAGGGTATCAGCTTCAACCACATAGCTGGGTGGCTCGTTCCAGACTCCCGCCACCCTTAGCATATAGACGTGCCCCCCCACCCCCCACCCCCACTGTTCTCAGATTTAAATGGCATTTCTGTTTAGATTCCATCTGTGCCCACACTGTTCATCCTGAAGACTAAGTCAACGCCTCTGAGGAATTTAAAGAACTGTATCAGGTCACCTTGTCATATTCGCTGCTCAGGACTAAAAAGGTTCAGTTCCTCAGCGTGTCAGTGAAGGGCTTTCTGCTTATTCTGTGATGGACCGAATCCAGTGCAGCAATATCTTGCGGACCAAAACTGCAGACAATATTCAAAAGGAGGCCTTCTTTAAATTGAAGAACTGCAGCTGGTTTTGTCATTAACAGCTGTCGCCACTGAATTGGGAGAGCAGTTAATTAATCTCTTTAGAGTCTAGGAGAAAGGGGAACAGATGAAAAAAGATTCCACGGTCAATTAAGCAGTAAAGATGCCCTTACCAGGGGCACTGCCATCAGCCTGCTGCCCATTTCTCTGCCCTGGTTGGGGCTTCAGTCCTGCGCCCTTGCTGGCGCCCACTGGTGGCTTCGCCCCTGGTGGCAACACGTTCTTCTCGAAGTAGCCGGGGGACGGGGAGGGGCGGGGGGCATCCTGTTGGATCT